ACACACAAACACACACACGCACACACACACACACACACCTGTGAGCCCTTCTTAAACTGGCTGAACCAGGTTCCTGGTTTTTCTCTGCTCCATGAAGCCATTTTGACCTGTGCACAGTAAACGTCATTAACATTTCTAAACACACACAGCATATATAAAAGGCATATATAAAAGTTCGTCTAATTCAGTATTTCTCAACCTTTTTGGCTTCCCCCCTTGTCCACAAAAAATGGACAGCTTTGTTGTGGTTGTGACCTCAATAAATTAAAATGTAAAAAAGTGAATTCATATCTGCGGTCAATGTGATTTGAATCTCTCACCATCTGTACGCTGCTGTGCGGCTGGAGGCATGTTTCACCTTCTGCTGTAAAGTTACAGAACACTTTAAACGCATCTCTATGACATCCCTGGTTGGGGTCAATCCAGTAAACTCCTGAGGTCAAAGGTCACACAGAGAGAACCGATTCAGAATACACAGGACGATGATGATCCCTCCAGTGTTGCAGACTAAGAAAGCACTGGAACAAGTGTATGTGTGTTGAATGTGTGTTGTGTTCGTACCGTCGGGATACTCGGGGTGGCACATCCACAGCTCTTTGCAGGTGCGGGCAGGACTGTGGTAGGTGCCCAGTGGAGTCCGGAGTCCCTCCACATCCGTCCTCATGGAGGCCAGAGACGCAAACACCTCCTCCATGTCCTTCTCCTCCCCCTGAGCCTCCTCGTCCTGCGTCTGTCCGTCCTCCATCGCCGCTCCATCCACATCCGAATACCTCCTCCGCTTCCCTCGGCCATCCAGCACCGGAGGAGCCGCCATTCCCACCGCAGGAAGACCCTGGATAGAGATGGAGAGATGTTTAGTTCCATCACTCGTTCAGCTAATGCTCCTTCTGCCATTAGTTTTCATCTAATAATGAGTTTATGGGTGACTGGAGACTCACCGGGGGACCAGGGGGTCCAGCAGGACCAGGATCTCCTCTGGGTCCAATAGGGCCCTTAAATAAAGCACATCATTCACACAGACCACATGAGGTATTCAGTATCTGCTGGTGTTTAAGAACTCAGACTGAAGGGAACACTTGGCCTGCATTTACACTGCAAGTCTTAATGCACAGATCAGATCTTTTGACCACATACGATTTTTTGGCCCACCTGTTTACATTCACTTTGACACGACTGGTATCCGATATCTGTGTTTACATTAATTCCCACAACAAATTCCAGTCTGTGTCAGATGTGAGCAGAAAATCTGATTTTTGTGCCAGTGTAAATGCAGCCTTGGACTTTCCAGACTCTTCACCCTCTCTGGTGTGAAATGAGCTGCCAATCTCCATGTGAACCGCTGAGTTCATTGTGACTTCTGAAGACACCCTCAAGCACTTAACCTTTACATTTCACCTCTTCCCTAGCTTGTTTCCTAATCTAGCTTTCTATTAAACCTGGCATTGTGCACTGTGAATACTTGGCTCAGTGACAAATTGCTTATGTTCCTCCTTTCTAATTCACTGTGAATAAACTTATCTGCTAAATGCATATACAGGAACACGTTCATGCTAACACATCTCAAGTCAAATGGTCAGCATGTCATTATGAATTCAAGTAAAAATCAGTGTGTTTCACCTGGTTTCCTTTAGATCCTTTCTGTCCCATGGATCCCTGAAACACAGTGTTACAGACTGAAGCTGTGAGACCAGAACAAACTCAATGTTTGATGTTTGCGAAGATTAAAGTGTCACGAGACTCACAGACAGTCCTGGTAATCCGGGTGGTCCACTAAGTCCTGGAGGTCCGAATGGTCCCTGTCAGCAGAAACACGATTAAATCAGCTTCTTAATGTGTGTGTGAATGTGTGTCTATATGAGTGTGTGTGTGTGTTCACCTCGTCTCCTTTGGCTCCCTGCAGCCCCTGGTTTCCCGGCAGTCCTCGATCACCTTTCTCTCCGAACTCACCCGGCGGCCCAATCAAACCGATCAGACCGCCATGACCCTGACACACACACAGATATAATGAAATCATGAGCATGTACTCTGTGTGTGTGTGTGTGTGTGTGTGGTGATGTACCTTCTCTCCTTTCTTGCCCGGATCTCCCTTCAGTCCTGCCAGTCCAGCGGGACCCTGCGCACATGTAATGAAATCATCAGTCTGACGTCATATTAAAGATCAGTGCATGAGGAGTGTTATTGAGCCTCACCATCGGCCCCGGGGGTCCTGTTTGACCTGGGGGTCCATTCAGCCCTTGTTCTCCCTACAGCAGAGAGAGAATGTGATATTCATCTTTATTAAACCAACATTCACAGGCAAGGATTGCAGGAC